AAAAGGAAGAAAAGAAAGTGGGAGGAACCCTACAAATAAAAAGTCCCATTTCACCAATACCAGCTCTTCCAATACAAGCATACAATTCTACTCTCCTGCCCAGAAGTAAATGTCTTCGGGACTGTCTCTATATATTTACAAGGTAAGGTATATTAAAAAAATCCATAATTTTTTTTAAAAAAACATAAATGAAACCATACCTTACATTTCTGTAACTTGCTCTCTCCCCCTTGTTCACTTCTCAATCCAACAGTAGTGGCAAAGCACTAATGCCTTCCTACCATTTTAACTAGCAGTCCCTGACTTCTGCTGCATTTGACACTAGTGACCACTCTCTTTTGGATCTGCCTCCTCTGTGGATTCTGTGACACTGTACTGTCCACGTGTCTCTTCCTCTTTTTGTTCCTTCTTAGTATTCCTTGCTGATTACTTTCCCCGTCTGTACCATAAACACTGATGTTCTGTACCATCACATCCAAGCTTTTTTCTCTATCAATATTAATTAATGAACGATCACCACCTACTTAACTCCAGGAGGACAACTCTCCCAGATCCCTATTTGTCAATGATTCTGCATGTAAACCAATATTCCGAAATCATTTTCATCAAATAAACAAAGGCTTGCATTTTTTGGCATGATATGTAATTTCAGTTTGCAAGTAATTTGAACTATATTATAATCAGCAAGTGCCTATGCCAAAGCAGGAGGATGGGAATAAATGGAAAAGAAAGTTTGGAAAGGGATTAATTTCTTAAAGTGGTAACTTATTAACAAATATTTTCATATTATAAGAATTTTTGCTTCCCTACAAAAGCTCACATTTCAAAAGTTCAGATAATGAGGATTCCCTTATATGTTATTAGCTCCCAGATGTCTAACCCAGGTCACTTTCCTGAGCTGCAAACACGTAAATACTTCCAACTACCTATCAGACATCCCCCTTTGCCCTTCTGGCAAATCCATACTCATCATTCTAATTTCACTTCAAGCATCACTTCCTCAGTAAAGCCTTGCAGCACCTTCCCCAAGGGCCCATCCACTTATCTACTAAAAATCTCTGACACTAAATGACCTACCTTTACATGTCAGACAAGGTCAACAAAAAAAAAAGATTATTAAAATCCAAGTGGGGTGGGGAGGAAGTTGATTGGAACAGAGACTGAGGGAAGAGAGAAGGCTAATATAATGCAAGGGAGTTTGTTACCATCTTAAAAGAAAGGAGTTGGCCAGGTAACAAAAGTTTTGACTTCATCTTTCTTTTCTTTTTTTTCCTTGGGATGGGGGGGGGGCCCGAGAAAGGGCATTTCAAATAGAAGTAAGAACACACCCAGGTTTGTGCCACTGTGTGCCTGGTTGGGAGGTAGGGAGAGTGAGTGATGAGGTTAAAATGGTAGACGGATGCCAGAATTTCAGGAACAACAATTATAGATTTATTACAATTTTTCTCTCCATGTTTCATAATTATCCGCTTATGATATTAAGCCAGGTTCATTAAAAACCACTTTCCTCTTGGGCCGGCCCCATGGCTTACTCGGGAGAGTGCGGCACTGGTAGCACCAAGGTCGCGGGTTAGGATCCTATATAGGGATGCTTGGTGCGCTCACTGGCTGAGTGTGGTGCGGACCACACCGTGCCACGGGTTGCGATCCCCTTACCAGTCCAAAAAAAAAAACTACTTTCCTCTTTATATCTAGATTTAAATGTCATATTTTTCTAAATGATTTTTCAGAAACAAGGCATTACCAATGAAAAATTTTAAAGTTACAATTTAACTGCATTTGGCCTTACAGTAAGAAAATAGTTCAAGAGTATCACCATGATCATGTAAAAGTTTTAAAAACCTCTTCTAAGAAAGAGGGAACTCTGAAAAGGAAAAACGTGCAAGGTTCCTTTTGGGAAATCAAAGTACTTTCACATTTATCCTCATTTTGTCTTATGTACTGTTGAGAGAAGAAAAGGGTATGAATGACTTTTATAGGCTAGAGAAAGTGAGAGACAGGAAAATTAGTGATTTCCTTCCTTCTAACATGCATGCTTTCGCACTATGACTTTTTAAAAAATCAAGATGAATCTCACACTAGTGATTTAATATCATCTTTTTCTGGGAAGGGTCACAATGAGTATATCTTACAACTATGGGTATACTCAATAAGCAAGAAAGTGGTAGAACTGGGCTAAAAAAATGCTGTTATTAATGTATACTAAGAGGAAAGGCCTGTTCGGCTCCTTGTTCACTAATTTAATGTATAGAGCCTCCCTCTTATGAGGCTCTTCCTGAAACCTAGAGCCATACAAAAATACCTTTTCTGCCCTCAAGAAGTATATCATCAAATATACATGCCTACACAAGAATTTATAAAACAGAACAGTCTGGGATTAACATCAAAAGAATGATACCAAGTGAGAAACATTAAATCCAGAAATGGAGTACTCACTTCTAGCCAGGATACCAGGAAAATCTTGGCAAATCATAAGAGTTCAATATATGCTGATTCTGAAGGAATTATGAAAGACCCAGGTAAGACTTTGAAGGATTGACAGAATTTCCACAGGGAGAGACTGTGGAAGAAGGCACTTCAAGCAGAGGAAGGAGCAGGGACCAGGAAAAACCACAGAAATCAGACAATGGGCCTCACTGGCAGAAGCAAGAACAGTGGGAAAGAAGGCTACAATAGTAGATACCGAATAAAATATGGAGTTCATTGAAGGTCAAACTAAAATATGTGAGTGAGCAGAGGAGTAGCATCTTGACGCCGTGTTTTAGGAAGATAAAACTGACAGTAGACTATACTGGCTGAATTGGAGTGGGGAGAAAGTACTGCAGTAGACAGTCTAGTGTCAAGTATTCAGTCCTGAACTAGGTCATAACAGCAGCAATGGCAAGAAAGGAGTGTCCTCCCTTTGAACTATGTGAGGACTGTTTTTGGATGAGGGCAAATTCCAGGAGAACAGAGCACCAACTTTTTAATATTAGTAGCCCCACTATTCCTTGCACAATACTTTACTTACTTTAGAACCTCAATAAAAAAAGCTTAAAGAAGGCAACCTGCAAAGTCTAATTTGAATCCTCACTACTAAGAGAGCTAAGTCACTTAAGTGACCACAGTCAGTCTTCTACTTCTCAAACCACTCATATTACACTTAATGTGACATCCCTCTCCAATATCGTTTTTTACAGCCTAAATCAAATGTTGCTAGAGGAGTTAGGACCTTTCTTCCTCCTCCCTGCAAACATACAGCAGCAGTTTCTAAGGGTATAAACTTGCTATTAAACATTTGTAAAGCACTGCTTCACTCAGGACTTTACACAGAAAACCATCCAGTTCCCCCCCACACACACACAAACCTTGCTGAGAAACCATATCTATAGCAGAAAGTTTTTCTTTAGGCAGCAATCAATATGCTTTGCTAATTACTTATAGAACCTGCTACATCATTAGTGCAACCACAAGCTGCTGCTTACATTTCCAAAGTTGTGCAAAGGATCCAAAGTTGTGCAAGAGTCACCACTGAAATCAGACTCTGGTGTACTAATAGTTGTAACACCTGGAACAAGCCTGAGGTTTATTATTAGATTTAAAGTAATGCCAAAATCACAGGTACTAACAAATATTTTACAATGAGACTGTTGGCTTATTTGTGAAATACAGGATGTTATTTTAACTAAGAATAATCAAAATTTTTCTGCTCCAAATGGACATGAATTCACCTCGAAATTAGCAGTTGTGACCCCGGACTTGACATCTGAAAAATCAGCGCCCCCAACATGCACACACATACGCACACACCCAGAGCACTGAATGGTCTTGCATTACTATCAAATAACCCCGGTTTACACACGGCAAAAGTCGACAGAACTCTTTCATGCTTTAATGACCCTGATAAAAGATTCTCCAGCCGTCAAATAATGGGATGTGACTTTTTCTGACGTGGGAATTGAAAGTGTTAAAAAATTTATATTAAAAAAATAAAAATAAAAATAAGGGTCTCCTCAGCTGGCTGTCTCACACCACCGAGCGCCTTGTCCAGGCCTTGGCAGATGCGTGCAGATCGGAGAAGGTGGTACTGATCAGGAAAACCAAGACCCCGGTCCCATCATCTTCTTCTCTCCTAGGCCCCCTTTCTTTCTTTCTCAGGATCCGCAAAGAGATCCAAGGTGAGGGGCCCTGGGAATAGGGTGCAGTCACCTGAGTCACCCTGAAGACCCCGGGCTGGGCCTCCCCTCCTGTCACACACTTCCCGGATCGGACGCAGCAAACGGCTGCCCCGGCCCGCAGCTGCAGGGCTGGCCGGGGAGGGGGCGGCGGACCGGGCCAGGCCAGGCAGGCCGCGGCGGC